TAGAAAAAAAAAAACCATATTTGACAGCCATTAGCTGTTGATTAAACTTGTTTAATCGACAACTAATGGCTGTCGAATATAACTGGACAAAATTATAAATCTGGCTGCCAAATTCTGTCGATAATCAGTATATTCGACAGTAAAATCCTGTCGATTACACTTGTTTAATCGACAGAAAAAGTTGCTGTTGAATATAATGATTATCGACTGCAGTATATTCGACAAAAAAAGTTGTCGAATATGTCTGTCGATTAAATTATAATCGACAGAAACTCATTCATATTCGACAGGAACTTCTGTCGAATATACTGCTTTTTCCAGTAGTGATGGTGATAATGCTGAAAATTCCTTGCCATCCCATGGTGAAGTTGAAATTTCCTTGTCTTCTGCAGTTCTGCTTGTACGCGGGCTCGAGCAGCAAGACAACCATTACCCGTGGAAGGTAATGAGCAAAATTTGGGTAGAATTAATGTGCTATGCTGCCATTAATTGCAGGCCTAATGTCCACGCACAAGAAGTAAGTCAGGGTGGAGAACTTCTCACTTTGGTTTGGTTGTTGATGAATCATATGGGTCTTGGAACTAAAAACTACACTACATTGAAAAAATCGAGCCAATCACCTGCAAGACATCCAGAATCAGAGTCAGAGGACGAGGGTCAACCGTAACCCATCAAGGATGGTTCGTGTAATTTGGCTGTCATCTTTCATTTTGGTACTCTGGAATAAAATAGGTTCTTTATTTTATTGTAGGAATGTGTTTGTGAATTGAAAAGTGAGGTTAAGCCTCTGCTTTTTCCACTTCAAGGTGTTGGAGCAATGGCATCAAAGCTGCAATGTTTGCTGCAACTAGACAGCAAAATAGTGCAGCAAGAAGCTGCGTTTATGGCACAAAATGTGCATCAATGAAGCTCCTTTAATGAAAGAAAGAAAAGTGCAGCAAACTGCTGCATTTTGGAAGAAAATGAAATGAAATTGATCGATGCAAATGAGATGCAACAAATGCAAATGAAATGCAAATGGAGGTTGCAAATTAGTCAACAAAAGTGTAGCAATTTCAATGTACTTTTTATGTTAATTTATGTATTACAATCTTTGACTAAATATTAATGAAAATTGGAATGAGATTTGGAGAACTTCTCCTCTCCACCCGGGTGAGTGAATGTCTGCACCCTTTCATGGTTATGTTAGATTTAAGTTCTAAAATCTACTCTTCTCCTACTCTCCTCCAATTCCTCTCTCTCTCTCCCTTTTTACCCCAAAAATCTAACACATAGATTTCATGACGTAAAATGAAGAACAATTATAAGATGGGATGATCAATGTTTTAAGGGTCGAATACTCCTTGTACTCACATTAATTATTATCAAGATTGTTTACTGTTCAAAAAAAAAAAATGAAGAACAATTGAAATCGAAAACTTGTGATTTTCCTTAACTAAAAATATAGAAAAACAAAGAAAGAAAATAATGGCAAGAGATAGAGAGAGAATAATATGATGTTGGTATAGTGGCAAAAATTTCATCCCAACCTTGTTTTCTGGGAAAAAAATAATTAGAAAATTCACAATCAATGATAAGAAAAAAAATTACTTACTTTCTTTTTTTATATACTATGTATAAATGTCACTTTTGATATAAGTCTAGTATAAGGATATGCATTAAAGCAAAATTAAAGAAACCACTTTTATTCGCACTGTATTCACACTAATTATTTATACTATGAATTAAATAAATTATTCTTTAAAAGCTTAGATTGGTTTAAAACAAAATCAAAATTAGGTCAAAATACTATGTATTTATATTGTGAACTGAATAAATTACATTTTAAAATCCTAAACTGGATCAAAACCAATTCAAATGTCCCTTTTTACACTACATCTATCATTTTTCACATTTAATTATCATAATCATCTCGATTGTCAAATATTTATTAAATTTTACATTATATGTTTTTATTTGATAGGGAAATAGATAAATTACATTATATGTTTTACATTATAAATTTTTATTAAATTTTACAAATATGTATATGTTTATCTTTGATGGATGGATAACGACGTCGTTGCATTTTTATCGAGATTTTTCATCTTCTGTTAACCAATTCTCTATTCTCCCGGTGAATGGAATCCCATTCTCTTCTTATCGTTGCTGGACCCCTTTCCTTGCCGGAACCCATGGTCACCGAACCACTTCATTGCCAGACCCCAGCGTCACTACCCACTAGGTGTTTTCTTCTCCAACTAAACGTACTATTTCACGCTCCTCCTCTCCCATTGTGTGCCATTTTCTTCCTCATCCATACTGGACCCCCCTCCTCATTGAAGCCCATGGCCACCCGACCACTTCTATGCCGGAACACACCACCGGTGAGTATTTTCTTCTGCAATAAGTACACTATTTCATGCTTCTCTCCCAATTGATCTATAGTTTCGATTGGTATGTTATCCTCTTCTATTTTATGGTGCATGTTTATTTTTGGTTGAATGTTGATTTAAAATTCAATGTAAATTGATCATATTAGCAAAATTTAGTTTTGATGTATGATTTTTCAAGTGATGGTTTATTTTCATTATTATTATTAAAATCAAAATATTCATAGCTATTACTAAATTTCTCTAGATAGCCTATTTATTATGCACAATTGATTTTCCATTTTGATTTTACTTAGCATTCCAATGAAACTATTGGTTGTTGTATTGGTTGCTGTATTTTTGGCCCCATTTGTTTCTCCTAGACTTTCAATGCTTCGGTAATGTACATTCATCATCTTATTGCCTTTTATTTTCTCAATTTTTAGTCATAATCTATATAATAAATGCGTGTCATTTGAAAGGTCTCTTCTGCATATACATATATATATATATAATGTCATACAAGTATATCTTTTTAGTTTCTAAGAAAGTATATAGATCTTAATGGTTAGGAGGTTTGATTTTATTAAAGATTTTAATCCTTTGAAAGAGCAATGAAGGATAATGTTTAGGGTTATTAGGCTTTGGAGGCAAAAAAAATTTTGATAGCCAATACTAAGTGAGAATATTAAAATGTTTCTTTTGGATGAATTGGTGAGCATTTTGTGTTTGACTTTGACTTTTATTCAATATTCTAAAGTTTGGTTTTAGAGATTTCTCACTTATAGCACTTCTACATGTTTTGTTTAGGAGGAGGATTGAAGCAACTCTTAGGCCTTCTTTGCATTTTAAGGATGCTTTTAATGAAGAAGAAGTTTATAAAATTTCAAAATTTGGAGTTTCTTTGAATGAATATCCTTTTAAGCCTATCACCCATGCACACAAGATTGTTTTTAATCCTAGGACTACTCAAAGTTTGGTTAATGATTCTAACATTCCTCATTAATGATGCCTGCAATTTGTCTTTATAATGATTCCTGAACTTCCTTATCTTATCATATATATGGACTCTTGTGTTCATATCAAAACATCTTTCTATCAATTGAGATACTAAGATCAAATATGCTTTTATGATAAAACTGAATTCTTTTGTCTACTTTTATTCTAGAAGCTTTGAGAGCTTTTCATTAACAGTATGCTTGGGTTGAGAAGAGTGGAGAGGAAGGGAAAGAAATTTTCTATTTGGTTATCAAAAAGAATTGTAGTAGGTTGGAGGGGAAATTTTTCCTTTATTTTTTCTCTCAAGTTAGTTACTCCCACAAGAAATGGGAAAAGTCGTGAGTTGTTTCCTGATTGAAATTGGAAATTATCATAACGAAGTTGGTGAGTTGCCCCATCCCCTGAGTCGGCCCCTATATACAAAATAGCCTCCCTCCAACGAGAAAAAAACTAAGCCCAAAAAAAAAAAAACTCCCTCGTGAAGTGAGAAAACTGTGAGTTGTTTCCTATTTGAAATCGTAAATTATCATAAAGAAGTTAGTGAGTTACCCCATCCTTTATATATAGAATAGCCCTCCCGTAACGAATTGCTTTGATCAATTTTAGCAGATGGCAAGCTTCAATTATCTATCAGAAGAACTTATTATGGAGATATTGTCGTGGTTACCAGCAGACTCCTTGGTTCGATTCAAGTGCCTTAGTAAATCATGGCATTCACCTATCGGACACGATTGGTTTATCACCAAACAACTTCACAACCATGTTCGTTCTGCCTCCGACGACAACCTTTGCATACTTCTCCGATACCGCATCTGCTCCGACCAACATGATCACGAGGAAGGTGAAAACGTTTTATCATTGCTTACATACAATGACAAGATGATGCTCTCTACTTCTAAAGGAGGTGATTCTCCTTATATTGTCAAGCCTGTGACCTTTTCCTTATACAAGGATCACCAATATGCTGAAAGTTGGGGCAGTTGTGATGGCATTGTCTTCTTCTTCGACTCTTCCTATATGCGTGATACCATCGTTATAGCTAACCCCGTAATAGGAGAATACAGAATTCTTCCAGAGTCTTGCATTTGTCTTCCTCTTTCTTCTCTATATCATGATGATGATGATGATGATGGTGACTATTTAGCGCGTGTCGTGGATGCCGTGGGACTTGGCTATGATCTTAAATCTAATGATTATAAAATTTTAAGAGTGTGGGAGATAGAAAGTTATAATGATTCACGCCTACGATTTCCTCAAAGAGCTGAGGTATACACCTTCAGTACAAATTCTTGGAGAGAGATTAACAATTTTGTTATGGAAGTGGAGATTGACGACGTTGTTATGGAAGCTTGTTTTACTCCCATGACTTCTTTTGAACGATATTGGAATGGAGCCTATTATTGGTTTGTTTTTTTGTTATGAACGAACTGGTGACACCATTAGAAAGCATTTAATTGCTTTATTTGACATGAGTGATGAGGTTTTCCGATAAATAGGCTTGCCAAAATGATGTGAAGAACAAAATGAATGCTACTATGTGCTATAGCCTTATAGAGTTGAACAGATCCCTTACTCTCTTTCATTATCCCTTTCGAGTTAAAGAGAAGTCATTTGATATTTGGGGGATGGATAAATTTGGGGTTAATGGGACTTGGACAAAGATATTATGTATTGGACCTCTTTTGGGTATCCAGACGCCACTACTATTTGGGAAGGATGATGAGCTTCTTATGGAAAATATTGAAGTCAGTTGGTGTCCTACAATCTAAAAACAAAGCAACTCCAGAGACTACCTATATATGGAGAAACTAAATATTTACAGGCCTTACTTTTCAAGCGAAGTCTAGTTTCAATTCACAGGGAAATGAAATGATCAATTAGAGGAGATTATTACAACGATTTAATTTTATATGTTGAACATTTAGAGATTCAAGTTCAATTCTTGTACATGGCGATTTAATTTCTTGAAACGAACTTTCCTTTCTCTTGTGAGTTTTGGGCTAGCTCCTGGGCAATGTTTCATCTTCATGTTTAATTAGTCCCTCTTGGAAAGATGTTTTTTAACATTGTTTCTAATTTAACTTGACCTTTGTATATTGATAAAGTGATTTAGTGTATCCCTTGGGTGATCCAAAGGATGATTTGAGAAACAAATAGAATGCCTATACTATATAGCCTCCTAATATTGACAACCAAGAGAGGTTAAACCATCACCTATCTCGAGTTTTGGTTCTCATAAACAGCATTAGCTTTCCAACCGATCATTGTGCTAAGTTTTTCATTGTTACAGAATATTCATATTATAATTATATTGATTGGGTTTACATTATAATTAATTGATATAATTAAATTAATATTATTCTTCTTGATATATTTCTATCACCCGTGTTCAAATGTCAAAAATAACCTTCTGATGCTAAAAATGGAGATTGGAACGGGCAGAACCAACTAGTATCCAGATTGAACGTACTCCCTTTATTTTTGCATATTTTTAGGTAACACTTATTTTTATATATAGTATATAAATAAGAATTGATATTTTCTTTCTTCCTATATATATGTGTAATTCTTGTTAAATAGTATCATTTATATATTTTAAAAACATATTACCTAAATATACATAATTTTTGCTAAGTAATTTCATTTGAAGCTTTACCTCATGCTGCATGTTAGCTTAACTTGGCTGGCAGGATGGATTACAGATCAATTTGCAAACTTCTTTCAGATTATATGTTTTACCTTGCAGTGATGCAGTCCACCATAATGGCTATTGTGTTGGACACTTGGAATACCGTGTTTAAAAAAAGATCGAAAATGATTCAGTTAGTAGCGCCTTGGAGTTATTTTCAAATGAAAAGACTGCCAACAGAAAAATCCTTGACATGAAGCAACAAGAAGAAGAAGAAGATGATGATGATGATGATAGCAGTGATGAAGAGGTTGAAATTTCCTTATTTTCTGCAGTTCAGCTTGCAAGCAGGCTCGAACAGCAAGACAACCATTACCCATGGAAGGTAATGAGCAAAAATTTGGGTAGAATTAATGTGTTATGCTGCCATTAATTGTATGCCTAATGTCCACGCACAACAACCCAGTCAGGGTGGAGAACTTCTCACTTTGGTTTGGTTGTTGATGAATCATTTGGGTCTTGGAACTGAATACTACAAGACATTGATTCGTTGGATCCAATCGTCTCAGAAAAGAGAATCAGCTTCAGACGCGTCAGAGGATGATTATGGAGCGTGACCCAACACGATGGTTCGTGTATTTTGGCTGTCATCTTTCAATTTAGTACTCTGGAATAAAATGGGTTCTTTATTTCAATGTAAGAATTTGTTTGTAAATTGAAATACTTCATTAAGTGATTTGATTATTTATGCGATTAAAAGTTTTAAACTTTGGCTTGAATATACGATAACTTTAGTATGTTTAGGGGTGGCAACAGGTCTTAGGAGATTAGGGAGTGCCTCTCGATCTCCGTCTTTGTGAATGGTGGGAACAGGATTCTATGGAGACTTTTGATGAGTATATTTGATAATTTTTTACCTAACTGCTAACCTGTTCATTACCCACTCGTTTAAAACGTGTTAGGGTCATATATTTATGACCCGTGATCCGTAAAGAGAACCCACAGGTCATGGGTCAATAACAGGTTGACCCATCGAGTTAACGAGTTTGACTCGTTTACTCATCAAAAAATTTAAAAATTTTAATTTGTTATTTATTTATTTTGTTTTCCAATTTCCAATTCCCAATTCCACCTAAACCTTTAATAATTGATTAATTTTCCCTAATTAGCCAATTGATTCACTTAACTCATCATCTTTTAGAAGTAAAAATAATCTCACTCCACTCATGACTCACCTCCCGACTTTTCCTATTCTTGCTTGCCCTAATACTCTCTAAGACTCTAACTCTTCAAAGTTCAAACTATTCTCATATTCTTCAACCTCCATAGTCCATACAGCCTTCAACTTTCAAGTTGTGACTCCACATTTTCTTTTTAGTCTTTAACATTATTTTAGACTTAGATTTTAGTCTTATCGAGTCACCGTTGCGTCCACTCAACCCTTTCTTTCTTTCTCCTTCAAGTCTGACAAGTGCTCTCTTTGTCACCAACTTTTCTCTTTAAAGACTTCAATATAAGTTGTTTACTTATTTATGCTTTTTAGTTTTCTTTCCATTCCAAGTAAAAATTCTACTTGATCTTCTCCTTTGCTTGCTTAGATGCATTTAATTGATTGATTCTTTGAAAGCAATTACCAGAACAAATATGTTCCAATGGGGTTTGTGTTTTTTGGTTGTTATGCTACTATTGCTTTTTTTTTTTTTTTTCTTAAAATTTATAAGTGTGTGGTGTTCTTGAATTTGATTAACGTTGTTCTTTAAAGGAAAGTGGAGAACGTGATTCTGAGGAATATAAATATGTATATATTAAATTAATGGGAAAAAGAATTCTTTTTATAAAATGTTGATTTTTTTTAAATCTTTTAAATAATTTTTTTTGAATGATAATAGATACAAATTATAGAGAGAAAAAAAAAAGAAAAAAAAATTTAATTGGGTCAACCCATGAGTTGACACGTGACTTGTGATAGGCAGGTTAGGATCTACCTTCATTGACCTGAGACCCATTTTAACCCAACCCGTTTTGACCCGACCCTAACCGAACCTAACCCGCCCGTTTGCCAAGTCTATTGATGAGGGATAGATTTTGCCTTTGTCTCTATCCCTCACCAATCTATAACAAAATGTAAATTTCACTCTCCAAACATAATCAACTAATATTCAAACATAACAAATAAAGTTCTAAAAGCACAATTAACTAAAATCTCCAAACATAAAATCCAATAGAAATTCTCTAAATATAAACAAAAATCAATCTAATTTAATTTAATCGGCATAGAGTTAGACATGTGTTGGATTGTGCTAGGTTGTGTAAAATTAGGTTAAATTTAATTTTTATTGAGTTGGGCTTAAAATGTATTATAATATATTGAGTTAGATTAAATTTAAAATAAATAAAAAATTTTAATCAATAATTTTGGTCAATTAGAGGATGTTCCTATGTATGATGTCAATTACAATGCATCCTCTTCTTTCAGGTCCATACTATAAAAGTCTATACCAAAATACAAAGAAATAAGATACAAAAAGACATTGGGTTGCCCTCATATCTCCAAGCTCTTGCCCTAAATTGTTTGGACCCACTGCACTTAACCAATAACAAGAAGCAAAAATAAGAGGAAATACTAGAAATTACCTAATAGAAAAATGCTTTCCCATATCAGCAACATGTAAAGAAGCCCAACAAAGGCAAATTACGGACTGACCTAATGCAAAGCTTGATATTAGACCTAAACATAAGCCCAAATCAAATTTCAAATGAGAGGTTTCGCCCACTGAGCCCAACAAAAATAAAAACAAATTAAGGGTTAATTAATTGCAAACCCAGTCTCTAAGTAAAAATGGAATTGGAAGACAAGTCAACGCATAGCAATAACCAAGGGTGACTTCACACGATAAGGGCTATAAAAGTAGCCAATCAGCAGCGCAATTGGGGAGGAGAATGGTGGATTGGAGATATGGGGGTAGAGTGAATTAGAGATTAAGGTGAGGAAGGAGGCAGTGAGAAGAGAACCAGAATATAAAAGTAAAAAAAAAAAATGTCTTACATGGAAACTTCTTCTTGTTCCTTTTCCTTTTCCGGGACCCATATATAGGAAGATGAGCTCAGACATAAGACTTGAAAACGAGTAGGGTTGTTGGAGTTATGACAAGAAGAAAGGAGGAAACTTCATCAAAATCTGAAGGCTAGAGGGTAGTTAAGCAGTAACTGGAGCAATAAAGACAACCAACAGCAAAGAAAATCAGATTTGGTTGCATTTATTTTAACCGGTTTGACTTTACCCGCCACTTTTGTATTCTAGATCTGTCTCTTAAGAAAGGAAAACTTCTATTTTTGGTAATTATTTAAGAAAGGAAATCTAAGAGTTCTCCACCCATGGCTAGTGGGTGGGCTCCTCCATGTTCAATCATGGCGGCAGTGACTGATGAGTACTGAGTGTTATTACATGTCGTTTTTGCTCATTGCATGAATAAAAATCTTGGATCCGTTAACCCATGAAAAAATGAACTTGTTGAGTCCCCTAGTGGTACTGGGTGGGCTCCTCCAAGTTCTGCCATGGTTACCGGCCGGTCTTTGGAGCTTTAAATTATTGATCGAACTCCCTTCCATCACCGAGATGACCATCAGACTTTCAAAAAAGCAAACATGACAAATCTAAAATAAAAGTTTTTGCCTAAAACGCACTTGAAATTAGTTTCTGAATGGAAAATATTTATAGATAGTCTTTTTTTTATTTTTATTATTATTTTATAATCTTATGTTTCATTTAATCATTAATTTCTTTTATTTTTTAAATCAAAATATTATATTCATCTGTTTAATTAATAACATATAAAAATTATATAGCAAAATTATACAAAAAATTTACCTCAATTATTATCCCTTACCCCCTCTGAATTCACCCATGGTGGATAAAGTTGGCCAAACTATACATTTAGTCCCTTACCTTATTAAGTTAAAAGCTTTTAGCCCATCACCTTATAATATGAAACTTTTAACCCTTAAACTTAAAAATTTGAAGATTTTAACCCCTTAACTAACGGAAACTATTAACTCTCCATTAAAGTAAGAATAAAACATTTACAAAATCAATCCTCAAAAATTAAAAATAAAATAATTTAGTTCCAAAAGTTTAAAATTTAAGAAATTAATAAATTAAAAAAATTAACAGATGACTTTTTCACACACACTAGAACAATATTAGAAATCTATAATAAATCAAGTGATTAGTTCAATTTAAAGAAAAAATTTTGATTGAAATTAAAGAAAATTTTTTAACTAAATTAAGACATAAATTTCAAGAGACTAAAAGAATATAATTAAGAAATTTTTTTAATCTCAATTTTTTTTATTTAAATTGAGTCAATCACTCGATTTTATTTTAGATATCTAATATTGTTCTCATGTACGTAGCAAAGACATCCACTAATTATTTTTAATTTATTAATTTTTTAAATTTTTAAACTTTTAGAACTAAATTGTTATATTTTTAAGGATTCGTCTTGTAAATATTCTATTCTTACTTTAACTGAGAGTTAACGGTTTTCGTTAGTCAAGGGCTAAAATCTTCAAACTTTTAACTTTAAAAGCTAAAAATTTCATATTATAAGGTGAGGGGTTAAAAACTTTAAATTTAATAAGGTAAGGGACCAATTGTATACTTTAGCCGATAAAGTTCCGCCGATACTTAAATTTTTCTTTTTGGGCAGAGCCAGGATTTTAGAGGAAGGGAGACCAATTTTGTCCATACTAAAATCAAATTTGTACCATTAATAATAAATAAATAAATAAAATTGTGCCCTAAAATATTATTTCTTTGTTTAGTTGTGTCAATTTGATTTATCATAAAGTACAACTTGGCAATTTTTATATGACATATAAATGATAATTAAAATTTTTTTGTTAAATATGAATTTTGGTCCTCAACTTTAGAGTTTTGTATAATTTTCATTCTTAAACTTTTTTATATACTTTTTTTGTCACTCAATTATAAAAAAAAAAAAAAGCATTTTTTTTTGTTCTTTTATTAGTTAATCCATTAAGTCTTTTCAATTATACACATTTTTAATCATATAACTTATAATATATGCATTTTTTGTCTCTTAATTTAAAAGTTTAGGGATTAAAAATATGCATATATGAACAAATTTAACAGATTAACTAACAAAAGTATTTAAATAATGCATTTTTCATAATTAAGAGACGAAAAAAAAAAGCATAAAAAAGTTAAGAGATGAAAATTGTGTAAAATTCTAAAGTTGAGTGTCAAAATTGACATTTAACCAAAATTTTTTTCTTCCCAAATGTGGTGCTTGTTGAATATTTTCACTTAGATTGAAAAAAACTTTTTCGATTGTTAATCATTTGTTATACTAAATCATCAAATTAATTAATATAAAGTTGATGGTGTACGACAACTAAACAGGACAAGAGGAAGTAACACATAGTTGCAAAGCGGTAAAATTGTGTCTTAAAACAGTTAACTTTGTCATGCTCAATGTGTGAAATATATTGTACTAGACAATTTTTTATGCTTAGTAGATAATTATCTAGTTGTATTTGTGAAAAAATAAAGCGTGGAATAAAACACATGTAAAAAAAAATGTAAAATATTTAGAAACATATAAAAAAATTGATATAACAAATGACAAAATAAAATAAATAGATTTAACTCAAGAAAACATTATAAGTTAGAAGTGAAATTTTAATATTTAATCTAAAAAGAAAATAGTATTAGTGACTAAAATGAATATTTTAGACTAATTTTAGGCATTACAAAGGTGTTAATCTAAAGTTTTCCAAGAACAGAGCAAGAGGGAGGACAAGATAAAGAAATGTTAAAAGTTTAGAGATTTTCTTACTTATTTATTAGTTAAAAATAATTAAAATATTAAAAATTAAAAGTTAATTTTTATATTTAATAGATTAGCCTTAAAGACTCATTAATTATTATGTGAAGATTTTGTTTTGAACTTAATACAAGATATATAAAAAGACTAATATATAATAACTACTTTCATAATTATATTAAAAATAATAAGTAATTAAAATAAAATTTAAGAGTGAAATTGGTAAAATATAAAATTTGAGAACTAATTTTAAAGCTTTCCAGGGGGCTGCTTCACAGCTCCTCCCTTGGTTGGTTACACGAGTTCAATCCCTGACTAATAAGGAAGAGAGCTTTTTACATTCAGAGATCTGGCCAGTGAGCCCGAAGGCCCTTCTCGTATTTAAAAAAATTAATTGACCGAATTAAGTACTTGAAGTTGCATATAAATTCCTAATTAAGCTCAATTTCTTTAAATAATTTAAGACACCACTGTATATTGACGGTATTGCTAATATATAATCATTGGTAAGATTTACATATCTAATTAGAGATCAATTTCATCTTTAAATATTAAAAAGATCATGAAAATGATATTAGTTATAATTTAACATAGCATTGTAAGCTTATAATGATGTATTATTATGTTATTGTTATCTCAACTAAGGAAAGAAGAGGATGGCGCTCTCCGTTACAGAACATGCTAAGATGCTATGGGATGCATGGAATGTCAGAGGACTCGAGCCTCTCTCTACAGGCCTTCTTGATTCTGTTTGCACCGTTGAGAAAGGAAGGAACTCGGAGAAAACGTTTTATTCGCTGGTCGATTTGGTTGGCGTACTCACTGCTATCCATGAAGATCACGCTATAATAATAACATGTAAAGATATTTGTCATGTTTCAACAGCAACCCTTAGGCTATCCATGAAGATCACGCTATAATAATAACATGTAAAGATATTTGTCATGTTTCAACAGCAACCTTAGGCTCTAGAAGCAAAATAAAATGAGCACTTACAACAGCCATAACAACAAAAGCCTTATCTGAAGATATCTCTTGGGTCATATATCTGTTTAACGGACTCTTAATTTTAGGATGCCTGCAGGATACACCTTAAATCTGTAAGCAAAAGTATCCATTCATGAGCTTACTATTAGAACAACAACTTCAACTGTAATTTATCTAAGAAGAAAAAAAAAAAGAGATCAAACTGACTGATGTCTACATGGTATGACTGACCATCCTTACAATACAAGCAAACAAAATTTAAATAAAAGTTCACGAATGAGAAATTTATGACTACTTTTACCTCCCTCCAACATATCCAACTCAGAACTTACATATGTTAATGCTACAGCCAATTTCTTGATATTTTTTAACAAAATCGTAACAGAAATTTCACTCCTAATTGCTTGTTTATTGTTTAATTAATGCCCTCGTCTTCAAAACAATCTCTTGATTTCTATATCTACAGGAAGATCAATAAAATCCCACCAAACCATTCATGCACATTTAAAATCATTAATTTATTCCACACAGAAAATTACTACAGCTTCCTTCGTTAATACAAGAGGTTACTATCTCAAGAAAACAAAATGTAAAACACAAGAAGAAAATTACCTGTCTAGAGTTGGCGATGGCTATAGAATGGGCCTCCAGAGAGCAGAGGACGCGGCCGTCCGTCAGCTGATACTCCTAATCCTCTTCGAAATCGCGCAGCTCCGTCCGCTTTAATACTGATTCGAAATATCAGTTGATCAGGAAATATGGTGAAAGGGGACGATTGGGGTCCACACCACATTTTAAGAAATTTTCATTTTTATTAAGTAAAACGCACCGTTCAAATGCAACCAAACCAAAAGTACTTTCTTAATTGAAATTATCAGGAATCTCATATTAATGGAGAAATGGACACTTCAATCTTCAAATCATATATTTAAATATTAGGGGATCCCATTTCCCCATATGACGTGGGTTGTTGGAAACTTGGAATTTCATATTTGAGTGTAATGTATTTTTTTTTCAAATTAAGTTATTTTTAAAAATGGGTTAAAGCCAACTGTAGTCCTCGTACTTTGTGAAATTGTTCGTTACTGTCCCTCTACTAAGAAAATGTTCAATGTCATCCCTCTACTTTCCTTACAGTATAAATGTCATCCCTTTACTACACATTTTTTGTTCAATGTCATCCCTAATGGGATGCCATCCATACTTCCGTTAATTTTAACTATTAATTACTAACGGCCAAAGATCCAACTTATTGTTTATTAATTTTTTTAGACAAGTGGGACCCTTTTTTTTTTCTTTTGGTTATGTATTTTTGTTTCTTCTTTCTAGTTCTGTATTTTTGTTTCTTCTTTCTACTTAGCTAATGATGTCTATTTTGGAGTTTTAGTAGTGTTAATGCTATCTATTTAATGGTTTATATTCTGTGATTAATGGTTTATGATAGGGACAATTAGAGCATGTAAATTCCTATAATGTGCTGCCTTGTTTTTGTTATTGTTGCTCTATTTTTTTAAAGTCATGTCTTGTATAAACAAGCGATAGAGCAAAGTTTACAGAGACCAATCTGCTGCACTTTTGTTTTTTTTGGTTAGGTTTTGTTTTTCTATTTTGACTTGTACAAGCAAATCTTGCATTTATATAGCTGAAAATGCTCAAAAGATAGACATAATTTGGCAATTAACATGACAAAAAAAGAGTCATATATTCCATTTCACATTTGCAGTACATAAGAGATTGCCCTGGTTTGGCATAAGGGGTACATTACAAAAGCAGATAAAAAGACCCTCTACAAATGCCAAAAACTATCTAATACAACTTAATTGCCAAATAAGCAATATTGCAGAAAACACATTTTCAAATCTCTTGATCTCTGAGCTTTTTTCCCATTTCAGAGTTCAAATTCTTCCAATGGTGAATCTCTCCATGCAGGTCTAAATTCTCTCTTTTCAATTACAGGAGCAGGTCCGAATTCTCTCTTTTCAATTACAAGAGCTCGTCCAAATTCAATTACAGGAGCTCATTCATCAGTGTTTGCTCCTTATCCAGTAACATGTAATCCGAAATTCAACTCAAGCCTCATCATCCTTCTACAGCAATATAAAACAAAAACTATATGTATCTGTCATAACTCAAATTTTTATCAAAAAAACAAAAAAAATAAAAAATATAAAAATATGAAAATTTCCCTTTTCTTTGACTAATATATCTTTATTTTGTTTCAGATGCTACATGCAAAAAGAAATTGGAAAATTCAAGAAGAAGAAAGAAGGGACTCAATTGAA